ACACACACACACACACACACACACACACCCTCCTGTTTGTCACTTACACCACAGCCCCGCCTCCAGTCCGACTCCTTTATAAAGACAAACTGAAGGAGGTGAAGTTCCACACACTGATCCCTTAAACTCTTCTCTCGAGACTATTTCTACTTTTTGAACATTTTCTGACCAGGTCAGCTGACGGTTTCTTTTTTTTTTACTCTCTACGGTTTTACAATATTTCTAGATCACGAATCTACATTTTGTGGAGACTTTTCTCAGTTTGGGATTTTCTTCTCCTCTCCCGGGGGAATCTCTGCAGATGACGATGGATCTGTCCGACCTTCCCTTCCCTCTCTCCCCGACCAATGACCTTTACGACGACCCCTGCTTCAGCACCAGTGACCTGAACTTTTTCGATGACCTGGACGCCCGGCTCTTGCACGCCGGCCTAGTGAAGCCAGGGGACCACCATCAACACCACCACGTGCCCAAGGATGAGCATGTGAGGGCCCCGGGGGGCCCACATCAGGCGGGACACTGCCTGCTGTGGGCCTGCAAGGCCTGCAAGACGAAGACGACGCACGAAGACAGAAGAAAAGCAGCAACCGTGAGAGAAAGACGTCGGCTCGGCAAAGTGAACAACGCCTTTGAGACCCTGAAGCGCTGCACGGCCTCCAATCCCAACCAGCGGCTGCCCAAAGTAGAGATCCTGCGCAACGCCATCAGCTACATCGAGTCCCTGCAGACGCTGCTGAGGACGGGCCGGGACGACAGCTTCTACCCGCCACTGGAGCACTACAGCGGCGACTCGGACGCCTCCAGCCCCCGCTCCAACTGCTCCGATGGCACGGTGAGACCACGAACAGCTGAAGAGTTCAAGTGCTGCCTCATGAAATGTAAAGAATGTGTCTGCAGGGTTTTTATTTCTGGCCCCGGTGCTTAATTGATGATGAATGGGATTTTCAAAATGTACGTCTGAAGCGTTAAATGCTTAGAATAAGATTTAGAACTTTGAAGATATTTGTTTCAGTTGTTGATCCTAAAATATTTTTAGCAAGTTTAAATGAGCAGCAGGTTTAAAAGACTAAATCTTAATAATCTGCGTGGCTGTAGACATGTCTCAGGTTTTATATAAGTTTTCTAACAACAAGTTGAAAGTAAAATTAAGAGTTGAATGTATTAAAGGCTCACGTTAAATCTTTTTACAGACTAAAAGAACAAGATGTTAGAACCATACAAATATAAATCTGCAGTACAGTTATTCCCTCTAGACTCAGGTGAACTCTGCTTCAGCTCCTGGTGTCTGCTGATCGATCAATAATATTTGGTTAATTGACTGATTGGTTGATTTATGCTTGCAGGTGGATTTCATGTCTCCGTGTTCAACCAGAAGTGAAAACAGTGACGGGTCCTACTGCAGCCAGACAGACGGTCAGTTTCTGTCCTGTCCTCTGTCCTGTCCTCTGTCCTGTCTTCTGTCCTGTCTTCTGTCCTGTCTTCTGTCCTGTCTTCTGTCCTGTCTCTACTTTCATATCATGTTTATTGATTTTTACGGTTTTACTTTAAATACGTTTGTTCTTTCATGAAACTTGATTCCTGACTGAATCCTTTGAAATGACCATCCTGTGATCACTACCTCTTTCAACATCGCCTCCTCTACCTGTCTGTTTCGTTCAAAGGCAAAAACTAACGCTTCCTGCTCCGTCTCTTACAGATTCCAGCGGCTCTAAACCGTCCTACATTTCCAGTTTGGACTGTTTGTCCAGCATCGTAGAACGGATCAGCACAGACCCAGCTGTGGCCCCCCCGGGAGACAGCGTGGTCCCCCGGGGTCCTGGATCACCTGTGAACAGCCCTGTTGTGTCCAGGCCCTCTGTAGAACCCAGCAGCATGTATGAGCCGCTCTAAAGCCGACGGAGCCGAGGACTCAAATTCCACAGAGACACAAACTTATTCCCCCTATTCTCAAAACTCTGCAGTTGGATCAGAGATATTTTTTTTATACCAACGCTCTGAAGTCTCTTTTTGTTTGGGTGAAAACGTCTCAGTTCACTTTCTTCAGACTGGAGCTTCAGTTTTCAGTCCGCATGAACTGAAGGTGATCTCAGCAGCAGAAATGTATTTATATACACACACACACACACACACACACACATATATATATATGTGTGTGTCTGTAAAAATCTATATATAGCTTTCATTGATTTCTGCCTCTGAGGTAATGACCAAGGACCATGTTGTACAACTGTATATAAGAGTTACTTATTACTTGTTCTTAGTACACACACACACACACAAAGGATGCTGGGATTGTTGTGTCATATGTTTCTACATATTATTTATGAGTGTATAAAATTCTAATAAAGCAATATTTATATTCTGACTTCTCCTCAGCATTAGTCTGTAAAATACAAACTGAAACTCGAATCTTCGACATCTTCTTCTGTCCTTGCAAACATATTATCCACCACTGGGCGGCAGTACAAACAAACTTTAAGCACAAACTATCTAGGGCATCTTTAAAATGTGAAGCTGGGTGCACGATGTGGAATAGGAATGATTTCAGAGGGATTTCTGATATCTGGGTTTTCCAGACTTCAGATGTGTAAAACATAAAAACCATAAACATTGTGTTGGGGTTTTGATTGAATTGAAATTGATGCGCACAAACTTGGAAACTCTGACTGGAGGAACTGTTAACATTTTTCTAAACACAAATACTTGGACAACATTTTTAAAATGTCTTTATTGGAGCTAAATTCATCCAGAAAACACTTTGACTCAAACAAACACAGGCGATGAGGCGTCCCATTGTTGCTGCAGGTGTTGCTGATGTTTGAGTCGCTCCTGTAGCTGACGGAACGCGGCGGGGAGCCGCTCACTTCCTGCGGCGCGAGGCGGCGCCCTTCTTGCTGCTGCAAAACGCAAAAATGCAAAAACAGAATCAGATCTGGACAGAGACACTATAAAATGAAACTTGACAAACAGACAGTGGAGGTCACCATGAACAAGAGTGAGGTGAAATATCCGAGTCGCCTCTCAATGGTTTAAGAAAACTATATTTTTAATATCCACGATGAAAAAGTAGCCAACTTTAATTTCTACAGTAAAATCTTGTTTCATTTGTGTTTGTCTGTTTGTTTGAGTCAAAGTTAAAGTTGTGAACAAACTGAACAATACTTAACAACACCTCAGAAAACTCTTTGATTTATAAATGATTCATAAGAATGTAGTAAATGGTTTAAAACACATTCGAACCTATAAGAACAAGTTCAAATGTTTGATTGGCATAATCTATATTAGAGCCTTATTTTACTATATCATCGTTTATTATCTGTTAATACACAACTTCTGAAAATCTGCAGGTGGAGAAACCACTGGATTCTGACGTAGTGTGTAAATGTTTGTGTGTTGGTGTGTTGGTGTGTTTGTGTGTTGGTGTGTTTGTGTGTTTGTGTGTTTGTGTGTTCACTCACTGTTTTTGCAGCTCGTCGATTCGGTTTCTGAGAGAGATGACCTGACAGAGGAGACAAACTGTGACTGACAGGTACGTCTCACCTGTTCACATTCAGGACCTCAACAGTCTCAGTCTGCAACTTGTGCAACATTTTCACTTCATCTGATTTTTCCCACAGAGGGATCAGTGGGTAATTTATTAATGCAGATAATTCTTTGCTCATCTGTGATCGAAACAGAAATGATCATCAACAGCGAAACCTGAAACAAAAGCTCTTTGCTGTTGTTTCACTTTCATTTTCTGCTGTTTCCACTTGTTATTTAATTTAAAGGCCCCACGTTACATTCACGTGGTTTAGCCGACATGATTTTCGTGGTTGGGATTTAACACTTCCATTGTGACAACGTAGCTATTAGATGTTTTTTTCTTAAAAACACAGTTTACATCATACGGACTTGAGGCTTCTACAGGAAACTATAACATTGTTTCACAGTCTCGTAGCTTATAGTAAGTCTACCTCGGATGGTTAAAACATTATGGCTTGAAATTAAAATCTCTTTTCCGAAAAAAGGCTTTTGACTTTCAGGACCAGAGTACTAAAAATATGTCCCCACCAACAAAGCCGAGACATTTTACAATTAAACGGAAACATACAGACTCTCCTCATGTGTTACTGACCTCGTATCTCTGTCTCTTCAGTTTCTCACAGTGGTCGTATTTAATGGCCTCCAGGCTGTGAAGCCACTCCCACAGCTCCTTCGCCTTGTCCCTGACAAACACAAACCAAAGATTCAACGTACAACCTGAAACAAATGTCTAGTTTAAATATTAAATGCTGGTTATACATTAAACTGTTTAGGAAGAATCCAAGAGATGATGGAGTTATGAACATTATGACTAGTTACTGATAAATATTAGATTGATTGACGTTTATGCTGCAGGTTGATGTTCATCTGTGATTTATCTGCTCATTGTGCGTTAAAGTCGTACAGACCAAAGTAACGTGTGCTCTCTGTGGTGTAATTGATGCGTCATGACTCAGCGACTTGTCTTTTTTTCCCATCCGTTACCTCAGCTTGTCCTCACTGAGGTTTTCGATGCTCAGTGGTTTGCATCTTTCTGCCATTATCTTCTTCTTCTTTTCTCTCTCGGTCTGCTTCTTGCCTCTCTTCTGGTCGATCTAGAACAATCCAAGGAGGTCAAACTCCGCCTCCTCTCAGTGTTTGTATGAAGCTGACGTAGTAATTTGAAGTTACAACAACAGAAAGAAGAAAAGATCTAAACGCTCACTCTCTGCAGGTGGCTGCTGTAGCCCGACCCCATGTTGCTCAGTGCGATCTTCTTCTTAGCGTCATCCTCAGCCTTCCTCTGGGCGTCGGCCTCCTCCTTCCTCTGCCGCTCAGCCTGACGGAGGGACACCCGAGATTTTTACTCATCAGGAATTCTTTGTTTTTTAAAAAATGTCAACAAAATGTGGGAAGTCGTGTGTTTTCTGCACCTTGGTGTACATGTGCTTTACACTGGAAACATATTTTTGAATAGTAGTCATAATGACAACATAAAATAATAATAATTCAAACAATAACCCACAACATTTTAACTTAATAAAGAATGTTTAAATGATAAAATATTTTTTTTAAAAAGGGGTAAAAGCGATACTAATTAATAAGAGAATTAATAGATACAACAAGTTGCAGCTTCTCCCTCTTGGATAAAAGTAAAGTGTGCTTGACCTTTTCCAAATCTTTTCTACATCATCAAATTAAAGAAATGATTTGATCTTATTTAAATGTCTCAGGTTTTAGGAAAAGGCATCTAGACCAAGACAAGAGATTATTATACTGCTGAAGATTTGACCAGAAAGTTATCTATAAAATTCTATGTTGTATAATTAATTTGATTTGGTGTCATTCAACTGCAGGAAATTCTTCAAAATGACAACGAGATACATGACAAATTGATGGTACCCATTCATAAAACAATAAATACTAATATTATGTCTGTGTGTGAGTACGAACATTCATGTAGTAAATACAGGTGGACCCAGAAAGGACCCCTGAGGGATCCCACAAAGGGGAGAAGCTAACAGGAAGGAGACGGAACGTCCAAGTTTGACTGAGAGGAAATGACACCACAGTTTTTCAGTTTACTGCGTAGATGACTTAGGTGGCTGCGTACCTCCCGTCTGGCCTGTCGCTCTTTATCTCGGTCACTACGAATCCTCTGCTGCTCGGCTCGCTCAGCTCGACGCTTCTCCTGGAAGCATAAATCAAAAGGCAGAATGAAAAGATGTCTGTGCGTTGTTTTATTTGTGGACAGACACGACTGTTTTCTTCAGGCAAGCTCTCACGATTCGTTCTTTGAGAGCAATGAGTTCTTCTTCTTCTTTCTTCCTGCACTCGAAGTGAGCGTCGATCAGCGACTGCAGCTCAACCAGGTCTTTGTTTTGACGTTTCTTCTGGATGTCCTGTGAGAAGTGGACAGACGAGCCATGACGTGACTGGATACTCGTTAAGTTAAGTTTAAATTTAAAATTAAGTTTCTCATTTGTTGGTTTTAATTTACAGCATTAACGATTTCTATTGACAATAAAAATAAATCATTTACAAATAAATGTGTTTCTAAAGATTTCCGTGCATCTATTGGTTCAAACTTCTGCTGCTAGTTCCTGTCCATTGGTTTGTTGGTTTGTCAGCAGGTGTACACAGAAGACAGAAAACCCAGAGGACTCTTTTTATTATCACTTTCTTTTTACTTGGATGCACCAATTTCCTAATTAATGGATGTAGAGGACAAAAGTCCTGCATGTTTAGAGGACTAATGTCAGGGGACTGTTGGGTGTTGGTGGAGGCATTTGCTCTCTCTCTCTCTCGATATGTAGCAGAAGCAAAATTTAATGGGTTCTCGACTGCCGGTGTTAAAGAACCAGTGATAACAGGTTCAGTGAACTATAGTTATCAAGTTTGAGAAATGTATTATTGAATAAATAAATGATTACATTTCTCTGGGTAAACACATCAACTTACGTCAAAGTCCACTTTCTCGCCATCGGGGATCTTCGGAGCAGAAGGTCTGTCAAACACACGATATTCAAATTGTACCAACGAGTCACTTATCGATACAAACCAGCGTAATTATCTATTAAGTATAGTTTCAATGAACTCACTTGAACTTTGGCTTCTCCTCTGGTTTTACAGATTCCAGATTGTTGAGGAGAGAAGAGAGAAATCAAAGTGTTAGAGACTGAAATTAGAAGAGACGTGAAGTCTAAAGAGCTGCTGGTTAATCAGGGGAAAATCCATGTGAACAAGCTGAGTTACATCTGAGGGCTGCATGTTCTTCCACACCTCCACTGGAATAAAATGTGAGTGTCTTAATTTTAGCAGAACTTTCCATCATCAGTGGCCTGATTCCTGTGTGTTAGCCTCCGTTTCCACTTAATACTGGTTGAAAGTCAACATAGACCAATTTAAGACGAGCGCTTTACACTGAAGTTCATTGATTTGTTAATATGTTCTCGTACCGACCGAAATCTCGGACGATCGCAGGGTTTGTATGTTTATAAATGTGGGTGTGTGTAAATAAAAGGTTCCTAAAAAACAAAAAATCGCTCCAGTTCAGTAAAGAGTAAAGTTTTTGTAATACCATTCATCATGACTCTAAGAAATATTTTGCTTAGTCAAATAAGTCGAGTGAAAACTTTTTTATATCACAGCCCAACAACCTTCTTATTATCTAATTGTAATGTATTGAAGTTAATATGAATACCAGCTTCAGTGCATGAATCTATAAATAACTGTTTTAGGTCTGTTTCAGTCAACAAATATTTCTTTGGTCGACTTCATCTTTAGTTAAAACATCGTACGCTTCTTTATTTCTGCGCAATCTTTTTCCAGTGAAGGTTCGTAATCAGGAATGAGGCCACTGAAAAATAACCTATTTATTCCACAATGTTAATTTGTTGTGCATTAGTTTGTAAATCAAACCAATATAATGAGACGTTTAAAGTGCTAATCAGGATCAGTACACTGTGTGTCATAAATCACCACAGAAACTATTTAATTGTTTAATTTGATAACATACGCGCACACTTTCACTTCACGTAAGACTTTATGTGATTACTGTTAATTGTTTTTTAATTTTTGTGGTAAAAACAACCGGGGGT